TTTGAATAGTATATGTTAATAAAATATAAATTAAAAAAAAAAAAGAAATAGTGCAGACTGAATCCACTTTAAGGGTTAGGGTTAGGGAATCATGGAAACTGTATTTTATTGTGGCACCAGAGCTCTCTGACAGAGAAGGCTCAATGTCTCAGAAAAAAACCAGTTCCCATGACTCCCTAGCACTAACCCTAACCCTTAAAGTGGACTCAGTTTGCACTATTTCTGGAAGTCTGCAAAAGCCCATGGTCTTCCTTTTTCTTATTTTATTTATTTTATACCACTGAAAAGAGGCAACCCCATTCGTAATTTCCACAGAATGACTGTGGGGCACCAACCACCTCTCTGTCTGCAGGTAAACCTGAAGTCTCTCACCTGGAGGACATTTTGCACAGGGTACAATTACTTGGCAGCAGCATGTGTGAGCTACATTATGCATCTTTCTAGGTGTAATTCAAGGTGTGGTTCTAGAGTAGGGATTAGCAAACTGCAGCTCCTGGACTTCATGTGAGTTCAAACACTTTTGAACCCTTCATATCCATCCTCCAAAGTTTGAGGATTTGTTTAGGCAAATTAAATTAAAGCTTGCATCGTAAGGCGCATGCTCTGGATCACAGAGTCAATTTCTGTCGCATGTGCAACAGTGCATTTATATGACCATTTTCTGGTACATCAGTGTCGCTGCATACACACACACACATGCGAAGGTGCACGTCTTCACCAAAGGAGCGGAAAAAAGCTGCTCCTTTTTGGAGTGGCTTTTCTCAGCATATGATGGCTAGAGGGCACTTTCCTGGAGACTTTTAGGCGTGCGTTGTCTAAAGGCCACACGTACAAGTCACCCTCAAAGCACCCCCTTTTGCTGTCTGCATAGCCCCTACATCTTGCCTGTAAAATATATAAAAGCAGTTTTAGTTACAAATTCATAATCAAACACACTGAAATATGGAGGAAAGACAGAGAAGAGAAAGAAAACAGCTACAATTTACAATGATGGAGGAAGAGAGTAGGGCAAGGTAGCAGTAGCAAACACACAGGAAGTCTGTAAACATGCAAACTAGCAACTACTGAGTATAGGCATACAAAGGTAAATCTAATAAATAAAGAAGGCTTCAGTAAAGATGTTAAGAATCTGGACAGGTTCATGTAGGAGCAGATTGCCCTTCAGGTCCTTGGGTTCAAGCCATAAAGCAGAGGTGGTCACCTGCAGCAGGGACCAATTTTTGCCACTCTGGTTATGTTAACACATGGAAGAAGAGAGTCAAAGAATCCTCTAGAAGCAACATTGACCTTTTGTGGTGTTCTTTCTTTTGCCTAAAACAAATCCTGAAACTTTGGGGGATGGATATGAAGGGTTCAAAAGTGTTTGAACTCACATGAAGTCCAGGAGCTGCAGTTTGCTAATCCCTACTCTAGGACCACACCTTGAATTACACCTAGAAAGAAATTGGAGGTTGTTTTATAGGAGCTTCTGCCTTACGAATGTCAGGTGGCGGAGATTTCACTGACCCAGTAGATTTACTGACCCCATTGTTTGGCCTGACCTTTGGTTGTAGATTTGTGATCTGCCAATACTCAGCCTTCCCAGCATTGAGAAAAGGGTGGTTACCCCAACGAATGAAATCGAATCATCCCCCAAGAGGGCATTCTGTATAATCTACGGAGTCCCCACCCTATTAAATATGAAGCTTTGTAGGAATAAAATGGAATTGGCTGACAACCCTGAAAGAGCATTTAAGGGCTGGATTAGAGACCTCATCTTATTCCTGGGAAACATTTTGCATAGGCCTGTTGGCTAAGTATAAACATATTGTTGGCTAATTAATATAACCAGATGTTTTTGCTGTTCAAGGAAACCCATTGTCTGGCTGATCTCGTCACTGGGAATTGACAGTTTCATCCCTGCCAGAGAAAGGGAACTCTGTGAAACAAGAAGGGAGAAACATTATCTCCCAATTCTAACAGAGTCACTTCCCAAGAGGTCTGCTCCCCAAGCAGTTGAAAATCTGTCTTGAAAGCAGATAAAAACAAACAGTTTATCTATATGTAAATCATAATCCAACAAATTATTCTGTTGGCATAAAATGGCCCACAAAACTGGCCAGGATGCAAGAAACATACAGGAATTATTATTTTATCCATGAGAGCATTTGTTTCATGATGAAAATACTGTATAATGAAATTTTGTAATTCCTAAATAGCACAGTGAAACCAAAACACCAATGCTGCCTCTCCCTCCATGTAAAAATGAGATTGTCTAATCATGACAGGTGAGCCGGTCTGTAGGGGTGCCAGATTTCAGGTCCTGACTCTGGATGCCAGTTTTCATATTATTATTATTATTATTATTATTATTATTATTATTATTATTTATATCCCACCTTCCTCCCTGTACAGGGACTCATAGATCATCTCCAGGAGGGAAATGGGGGTGCAAATTCTCCAGTTTTGGGGAGCTCAGCTTTGGGAGAAAAGAAAGGACTGTATACATATCTCCACCTCACTTAGCAGAGCAGCAGATTGTTATAATTTCCAAGGCTTCATTTATTACCTACAAAGAATCTCCAGGCAATCTCTGTATTTACTTTTTTTTTTGTTAGCTTCCTTCATCCCCCACCCCAACACTGTGGCTCCAGGACTTACCCTCTGATCTGATCTATGTCCACCTTTTGGCTAGAAGCAAGTGGGCTAGATTAAATGTTACTTATCCAATATCCCTAAATAGGTGAAAAGGAATAATTCTCCCCCTCCCAATTTCAATCTGATCTGGGAACAGCCTAGACTTTAGCTAAGACTTCTTTCTCAATTTGCAAACATAAAAATAAATTACCTGAGTCTGTTTGAATAACAAGTAACTGATCAATTGTAGTTGATATTTAATGCATAATGCTTAATGACATCTCCAGGGGTCATTCTTAGGTCTTGGGTTTGGGGCTATAAATCTCAGGGTCTGGATTGATCCAGAACTGGCAACCCTAGGATGAGGTAAGAGGGACTGCAATCTTTGATAAATTACTAGCATCTGGCTGCTGCTAAGAAACCAAGAATTATAACTTTCCTAGATCCAGGAGCTGAAACAAGACTCAACAAGTTGCCCTTGTTCTTTCTCTCTATACTTCCAGAGACAGATTAGAGGAAAGAAATGTTTGATGAAGCCTTCATAATGCCAGGATGAAGCCTTGTAAAACTTGCCATCCCAAAAAGGCAGTAGCTATGTTTGTAGCAGGGGTGGGAAAAGTGAACTCTGGGGGACACATGCAGCCTCCGAGCCCCAAATTTATGGTCCCCCGAATCCCCACAATTATTTTTTTATAGAAAAGTAGGTTTCAGTGAGTCCTCCCCACACACCTAAAATCAGCTCCAGCCATGCCAAATAAATAAATAAATAAATAAAAATAAAAATCCACAAGTGCAGCACTTTAACTCAGCCACATCACCCCTGACACCCCAGAAAACCTTTTGAAATGGGCTATATTGTCCCCACATGGTACTCAAGTCATGTATGCCCCATGGTAGTTATGGGGAGTTGAAAATTGGCCCTCTTCTCTCCCTCACTGTTGCCTACCCCAGTTTAGAAGCTTCCCTCCATTTCTACTGATTATAACTTTTTAAAAATGTTAGTTTCAACTGTCTGCAAGAGCCATAGAAGCAGTGATCCAGGAAGGATTTAAATCTACAGTCTTCTGATCCATAGTCAGATGTGTTATCCATTGTGCCACTGTTCCAGTAGATGCCTGGAAAGTCTCACGCGTCTCTCTCTTCCAAAAGAGAACTGGGAACTGGTCAGAAGTGAAAGAAGGAGACCCAGGAACGTGAAAGGAAAAAGGACATGGAGTCTTCTGGAGCAGAGGGCCAGGAGAACTTTCCAAACCTGCTCTTCTATGCCCTCCAACATTTCACAGATGAAAACTGGAATTGACACCCTCCTTCCTCTGCCATACCCTCCAACATTTCATAGATCAAAACCAGAGCACATGTGGCTAAGCAACACATATGGTCAAGATTGTTGTTGTTGTGTGCCTTCATTTCTGACTTATGATGACCCTAAGGCAGGATGACCTGACATTATCTTTTTCCATGAAATAATTGAATAATAATAATAATAATAATAATAATAATAATAATAATAATAATAATAATAATATAGTTTATTTATATATCCCGCCTCTCCCAATGGATCGAGGTGGGAGTACAAGATAAGAGAAAATAAAACTAGCTAAAACATAACAATAAAACCACAACAAAATAAAGTGATAATACAAAAATAGCAACATAATTAATACAATTAAATTTTAAAATTACAAAGTTATTAAAATTACAGTAAAATTACCGATGTCAAATTGGATGATGGTGATCTTTCTTTTCACCCGGAAGGTCTTTGATTTTATACTTCAATTAGGGAGATTAGGTGGGTAGGCCCGCCGGAAGAGTTCCTACATGTCCTACATTTCAACCTTCTGTCTAGGAGTAATTTCAAAATGTGCTCAATTTTTAAAAATACTTTTTATTAACAGAAAACCAACACAAGCACATAACATAAATGTCCCCCATTTTGAGCATGACTAAGAACATGAATTTACAATTATATCAGTGTTATATATAGTGTGTGTGTTTTAGTTATGTTTTTAACTTTAGTATGTTTTAATGTTAATATTATACTGTTTGAACTGGATTATTTTAATTGATTTTTTTTAAAAAAATGTCAAGTTTTTAAAGTGTTTTTATCTTGTGAGCTGTCTTAGGTCCCTTTTTGGGAGAAAAGTGGCATAAAAATGAAATAAATAAAATAAATATTTGTTGGGGGGTTGCCATTGCCTTCCTCTGAGGCTGAGAGCATGTGACTTGCCCAAGGTCAACCAATGGATTTCATGACTGAGCTGAGATTTGAACCTCGGACTCCAGAGTCATAGTCCAACACTCAAACCACTATGATATGCTGTCTCTCAATGTTAAGATAGCAAAAGTTATCAATGAGGGAAACACAAGCAATGAGAAGCTCAAGTAATTTGCTTTTTTCCAAGCCTACTTGGAAGGGCAATATTCTGTCCCCTCCTCTCCTCTCCCCCTTGGTGAGTGCAAGCTAGGTTTGAACTCAGTTTGCAGCAAAGGAAGTAGGCTGAGGACAATGGAGGAGAGGAATAGAAAGGATCTGGGACATTTTCAAAGCAGCTGAAAAAGTGAAATGACAGCTTAATCAAGATGGTCCTGCCAAATTGGGACAGCTGGAGGGTATTGCTGTCGCAGTGACTGCAGCCACTATCACTGTTGCTGTTTTTGTCACAGGCCTGCCTTTGCCACCACCATCACGGCCATCTCCTCATCCCAGTCCCTTAAAGCCCTGCCCAAGCACTGGCTATTACTCCAGGCATTCAGATGGGGGAGATGCTGTAGGCGAACATTTAGCCATGTAGATTAACTTCTTGAAAAAAGATACAACCCAAATTTATGAAAAATGTTGTGTCCTCCCCCAAAGAATAGAAGAACATGACGCAAGAACATGGCCCCATGAGGAAAAGAGACAGAGGGATATAATGAACAAAGGAGACTTTCTGAATTTGCTATCTCAGGGAATGCCTTTCCTTGTGACTTTATCTAAGTGTCCAGTCTTTGTTTGTATGAAGTTATAGGACTCCTTCAGCACTGTTGAGTAAAGGGACTCAACTATAGGGTGAGGACAAAGATCTCCAATTCTAAAAGACAGTAATGAGCCAGGCAGTCTCCTGATTTGTACTTAAATGTATTATCCATTGTGCCACTGGCCCTGCAGCCAATTTAACAAATAACCATAATCTAAGACTGTCACTTTTTAGGATGGCAACTTCCAGAGGCTACCAGCCAGTATGGGCAACATTCATGCAGACTACAGAATTTAGTTCAGAAAGTAACTTTGCAAAAATCTGCACATAACTTCCTTCCAAAATAAACAGAAAAGCTGAGGCTGAAAGAAAAGGAAAGGGGTCAGGGAATCTTGCTGAGCATATGGCAAAGATGTCTGTTGATACCTTTTGAGGTTCTTTGTGCCCCCCCCCCCCCCCCCCCCCCCGCTGCCGCATCTGCTGGAAAGATGATCTTTCAGGCTCTGAGATTCCTAGTTACCTTTGATCCAATGCTGTAAGACCTATGGTCCTGACACTCCTGTATTTTCTTGCCCTTTGCTCTCAATGCTACCACAATGCATGCCAATGCAGGAGAACAAGAATGGTGTTTACTTGAGTTAAAAAGGACTCACACCATTTTAAGCATCTGACAGTAGCTCTTGGAGCTGTGCTTGGGCTGCCAAGGAACTCATGGGCTTTGGATTCCTAAGCTGCAAAAGCACTATAACTTTTTTAACTTTTGCTTCAAGGGAAGGCTCTTGGTGCTCAGAATGATCATAGAATCATAGAGTTGGAAGAGACCAGAAGGGTCACCCAGTCCAACCCCCTGCTGTGCAGGAACACACAGTCAAAACACTCTTGCCAGATGACTACCCAGCCTCTGCTTAAAAACCACCAAAGAAGGAGATGCTACCATTGGCATCATTGAGCAATGGCATTCAGCTTTGTATGAGTTGATGGGGAGAGTACAGGTCAATGTTCTTGAGAGATGTTCCCAAAGAAAGAGGTGTCCAGGCAGGAATTGAACTTGCAGTCTCCTGATGCAAGTCAGACATATTATAAATTGTATATCTGGCTCTGTGGGCACACAGAAAGACAGAAGGGTGTGTGAAAAGGAACAAAGCTGTAGCATCTGCTCATCCACAGTGCAGCCATAGAAGGGTCTTGGATGGAGCAGACAGCTGCTACATGACTTTATATGAAATTCAGACACCACATGGATACCCACTGGCCATGATACCAGGAAGCACCAGAAGAATGACCAGCCAATAGGGTAGAACAAGAGTTATGTAAGTTCTGAAAAACCAGATATAAGGTAGGATTGGTCAAAGCAGAGGCTGTAAAAAGGAAGGGGAAATAGGGAAGAAGGAACAATGGAAAACTTATGACAGGTTAGGCCCAGTACCAAGAGTCTTCAGCATCCCCTGTTTGGACTTTGAGGACTATACCAGCAGAGCCCTACAGAGACAGCATTGGTCAACTCTGGACCTATGCAATCCAATATCTCATTACTCAAGAAGTTTCTGGTAACATAACCAGTATTCAGGTACACTGACCACATTGGTCCCTAGTGGTACTGCACTTTGCATTGGGAAACTCCCATCCAGATACTGGGATTGGCCACACCACCATTGGGCTGGGTGTTCCCATCATCTCTTCAGACCCCATGTTTAAACATATTGGTAGAGCTTTCCATTTTGCCAGCTCTCAAAAGGATCCCAGACTTGGAAAATATTTCCTTTTTATATTTTATACAATTCTTTCAAAGGCAGTACAGCAGAAGAACGATAGCACCTCCAATGGGGAAAAGGGACTTTGGTGGGACTCAAACACACAACCTTTCAATGTTTGTGTATTTAAGCTGCCTAGTAATCCAGTGTGCTCTCTATTATGCCATGGGATATGTTTATTCAAGGAATCTTTTCTGTCCATTCTGTCATAATAACTGGCATTGTTAACAAAGGGTCTGAAATGCAGAGGAGGAGATGATACTCCTTTAGATTCTTCCCCACTGCAAAATGAATAGACAGGTGAGGAAAGAATTGAATTTGCAGTCTTCTGATCTATAGTCAGGTACATTATCTCTTGCACCGCTGGATCCATAGCTGCCTGCTCATCCTTCTTGTAACAAAAGAATGAGAGAATAATTGACTCATAGAAAGAGTGGGTGAGTCATTTTGGACAGAAGTGTTGGCTTCTTCCTAACCACACTGACTGGGTAATTTACAACAGAAACAGTTTGGACATGTGTTGTTCTTCCTATACAATGTGAGTTCTCCTAATGATGTTTCCAATTCATTACTGTGTGCATGTGTGTGTGTGTGTTTCTGTTGCAAGCTATGGAACAGGGAAATGCATTATTGTAAGATGTTTGAAATAGCTATGCAGAAAGTTTTGATTTTGTTAATTGAAGAAGAAAAATAATAAAAATCTGTTTCTTAGAAAAGAAAAATGAAATAAGATTGCCCAGGGACAACCCATGAAGAGACAAGGGAGAAAGTTGTGGTGATGAGCACAGGGTGAGGTGGCCTTTGGATGCTTATAGTTCCAAATGTATTATTCTTTGTAGCTTTGCTGTAAAGTTGAATGCTCTTTTGTTGGCAGCGGCAGCAATTTAAATGTGATAATATCAGTGATTAATCCAAAACACGACTGTATCCCATTGGTGATAAGTCGCTTCATTTGTAATGTGATAATCTCCACTGTTATTAACAGCCCTGCTCAAGCCTTGCAGACTGAGGGCCTCGGCAGACGACTAATTGAGTCGTCTTCCGGGCCCAGAAGAGGAGGGGCAGCCGCACATTCGGCGCCCCTTCCTCTCCCTGAGGTCGCCCTCGGAGTCGCCGGCCCTCCGCACGGCTGGCGCTCCGGGGATGAGCTCACGCCGCGGCAGCCGAATGCGCCGCGGCGGAAAAGACAGCGAAAGTGCGCCCACCGCTGTTAGTGCGCACTTTCGCTGTCTTGAGGAAGGAGCGCTGATTTAGCGCTCCTTCCAGGGTCGCCGCCGGTGCGCCGAGGTGCGGAGGCTGCGGCCCCGCGGCGCGCCGGCCCAGGGCGTCTGGGAAGCTCTCGTCTGCTTCCCCCCTTAGAGCCTTGGCTTCATATGTTGAGACAATCCATTTATAACA